AAAGCAAATACAAATTGAAACTATTTTTAATGAACTGCAACAAATACAAACAATGTTTAAAATAAAATAGCATGTAAGAAAACATAATAAATATTCGTGGTAAATAAATTATATAAATAACCAGTGGTATAGCGGTGGACAACCGTAATGCAATAAAATTTGGGTACAGTCATAAATATTAAATATATTTAGATGTTTAAAGTCAATAATAGTATATTACACTACAAGGGCAGAAAGTGTGAGATTCCTGCACTGCGCGCCATGATGCCCGAGGCGAAGCCGAGGGCATCATGGCGCGCAGTTCAGGGCTCTCACACTTTCTGCCCGTGTAGTGTATACTATTTTTCTTGCTACCCCGCAGAAAATACGGGAAAAAATTAAATGTATATAAAAAAAACTTTTGTCAAAATTAAAATCTGACGTTTAATTTAATTCTGACGTTTACATTCAAAATCAATCAAACTGTAGCGTTGTCATGGTAATTCAGCGGTGCCAATACAGTAAAAATAAAAGGTTGTATTTTAATTAACAAATTACTACTTTATAACAAATAAAAGTACCATTAAACACTTAAAACAACATAAAAAGTAAAAAAGTAAAAACATAAATTGTTTATTTGTTGTTATAATTGCAAAATTATGGTTTAAAACTGTCATATTTTTGTGTTTCTCATGTTGGCAGTACGAAATTTGAATGTTAGCACACGACTAAAAAAATTTTACTCCCGCTATTAGAGTGTGCGCGTATAGCTTGACCAATGCAAGAAACGTAAACTTTCTGCTGTGAAATCGGGGACGAAACAACGTATTTTGAGTCGAGGTAGTAAGAAATAGTATATTACACTACAAGGGCAGAAAGTGTGAGATTCCTGCACTGCGCGCCATGATGCCCGAGGCGAAGCCGAGGGCATCATGGCGCGCAGTTCAGGACTCTCACACTTTCTGCCCGTGTAGTGTATACTATTTTTCTTACTACCCTGCAGAAAATACGGGAAAAAATTAAATGTATATAAAAAAATTTGTGTCAAAATTAAAATCTGACGTTTAATTTAATTCTGACGTTTACATTCAAAATCAATCAAACTGTAGCGTTGTCATGGTAATTCAGCGGTGCCAATACAGTAAAAATAAAAGGTTGTATTTTAATTAACAAATTACTACTTTATAACAAATAAAAGTACCATTAAACACTTAAAACAACATAAAAAGTAAAAAAGTAAAAACATAAATTGTTTATTTGTTGTTATAATTGCAAAATTATGGTTTAAAACTGTCATATTTTTGTGTTTCTCATGTTGGCAGTACGAAATTTAAATGTTAAGCACGCGACTAAAAAATTTTTACTCCCGCTATTAGAGTGGGCGCGTATAGCTTGACCAATGCAAGAAACGTAAACTTTCTGCCTTGAAATCGGGGACGAAACAACGTATTTTGAGTCGAGGTAGTAAGAAAAACATTTTAATTGGATAAAATATATCATATACTAGTATGTCAAATAGTAGCGTTAAAGAACAATCAAAGCAAATAACAACTGAGACTAGGCGTACATGGCTTAGAATTTGCAACAAAGTCACAACATATTAAATAATAAATTGTATTAATTTATCAAAAAAACAAAATAAGGTAAACTTTTCAAAACAAAGTATGTAAAAGTTAAATAAAAAAATTTAATAACATGATTCATTGAATTACAAATTGCAATTTACAATATAATATGTTAAAGTAAAATGTAAACATTTAAAATGGTAAACATAAAATAATGATTATAATAAATAAGTAATTAAGCTGTCCAACCACAACCCTAAATATGCCAAGTTTAGCTTGTTTCTTCTTTCACAAAGAAAAGATGAATTAAAAATAATAAAATATAATTTAAATTAAATTTTAATTAATTAACCACTTATTATGACATTTGTGACTTTAAATTATTAGATATAACTAAATATAGAAAAGACATACCTATTCTAAAAAAATAACACTTTTACAAAAACGGAATTTTTATAAAATCAATGGATTATTGAAGAGTAAAAAATAAACTTCCTTATTCAAACGTTAAAATCAATCTTCTACCACTCTTTTCTCTTAACTACGGTTTCGCGAAAGGATCGAACGGTCGATTTATTTACCTTATTTCTACATCTAAATGCAGTACTTTTAAAAAAAAAAATCTTGTCCATTGACAACTTTGTTTTTATTTTTATTGTTTTCTTCAATGAGTTAAAAATGAAGAAATTTAATTTTTTTTGTTAACTTTTTTATTTTAAATCGAATCGATTTAAAATTTCGACAAAATGTGGATCTTACTAATGAAAATTAATTCATGAAAAAATTTTGTTTAGATTTTAACGTACAGGGGGAGCGGGGGATAATTTAATTTAAAATTTAACAATTTTTAAAGGGTAAATATTCAAAGAAGCAACATTGTTTTATAAATTTGAGTATAACACGTTGAAGTATTGATATTTGACTATTATTTGAAATATTAACTTTTTTATGCAAATGATGTTTCTGTGGCCAGGATCAATTTTGAATTAGCAGTAGCAGTATTCATAAATGTTTAGTTTAGTACATATTGTCATTTTTATACAAATATTGTTGTGTCTTTTATTATTAATTAAGTAAAGCAAAACACATAAATGACGTTTAATATACAGGGTGTTTCACGTACGTAGTCCGTTAGAAGTTTCTAGGGAATCGCGAAAGTCATCGATTTAAAATAATTTTAATAGCGTAAATTATTCGATTTAGATTTTTTCTTAATTTATTTTGAACAAAATAATACTTCCTGTTTTACCGAAATTGTCTTTAACTTTTTTATTTTAAACAGGACACCTCATATATTTTTACATTTTTTAATTCTAGATAAAATTCTTAATAAAATGGCTATACCATATCCTATACCTAAAGTCAATATTTATCGAGTTATTAATTTTTCAATCAAATATTTTAATTAATTTTAAACAATAACAGATTAAGTGGTAAGTTACCACTGGTATACCAGTGGTTATAACCATAGATACTGTATGGTTATAACCATAGATACTGTCACATTAACCAACATGTAGAATTTGTTGATATGTAGAATTTGTTGATACAAAATAGTATTGAAAATATTAGAAATTGTGAAATGTCTCTGAAATTTTAACTTTAGGAAGCAGTTATTATAATACCAATTGACAAAATTCTTTAATTTTCTATTTGATTATGTTAAAACATACAGGGTTTTACATTTATAATTAAAACGTAATTATTGTTTGAAGTTTGCCTAATTTCAAGTGGTTTTTCTGAAGCTATTTGTTGAAAAACCTTTAAAAAATTAAATTATTTAAACAATGTTTTAATATTCCAAAAATTCCAACCCCATGTCAGCAAACCTAATAAAAAAAAATTAGAGGCTATTTTTGATTAACGTGCATTTAGCAAAATTTTAACGAAAAAAATATCTTCAAAACTATTTACTTTAGGTATAGTCTAAATCAAATTGTATACGCTATTAAAATTTCAAATCCACCCTGTATAGCATTATATTAAATATAAAAAATGCAAAATAACTAATAACAAAAAAGCGAAAAACAACTGATTAAAAAATATACATATATCTAAATAGCCGATCACAACATAAAAAATAAAGTCTTTATTCTAATTTATTTATTGGGTAAATATTACTTTCCTCAGTTTGGAATTAAAATTGAAGCTTGCTTATCGAGTAAAAAATAAATTGAAGCATGGTTGTGGAGCAAAAAATAAAATTAAAGTAGGTTATAATTTCTAACTGGCTAACACTGTCTATAAATATTATTTAGATTATTCATTTTATAAACTGAACTGTCATATTATCTTTCATGCTTCCAATGGTAGGTTACCATAGAGAAAAAAAAGTCTAGGATCAAAATTAGTAAACTTGAAAAAAATTTCTATTTATAAATAAAAGTAATTTTAGCTCCATCTATGGCGATTTTTTTAAATAAATATGTAAGAATTGTATGTTATATATAATATATTATATGTAATATATAATTTATAATATGTAATATATAATACATTATCTTATAAAACTAGATAAAACAAAATATACTTTGTAAAACACGTTAGTATTATGCTCTTTGAAGGCTCTCGTAGAAAAATAATTTGCATAAGTAAGTTTATATATCAAATAATAGTTAATTATCAGTACTTTACCGTGATATACTCAAAGTTATAAAAAGAAGTTGTTTATTCGATTTTTAAACCCTTAAAAAATGGTAAAATTTTAAATTAAATTGTCCCCAGCGACCCCTGTATGTTAAAATCTAAAAAAAATAATACGTGGATTTATTGTCATTAATTAGGTCTACATTTTCCCTTAATTTTAAATCGATACGTTTTTAAATAAAAATGTTATTACAAAATATCAAAATTTATCTATTTTTAACACAGTAGAGTAACTTAAGGCCTGTTAACTACAGCGGTCAATGGATGAAAAATTTTTTTTGAAAAAAAATGCACCATTTAGATGAAGAAACAAGGTTAAAAAATATATTCAATTCTGACTTCACTTGCAAACAAATGTCCAAAATTTGTTCGATTTTTACGCGAAACCATAGTTAAACAACCAGACGTAACTGTCTCGAAAATTGCTTATTTGGTATTTCTATAACGACCCCTCAAGTTGTTTACCCTATGAAAGACAAAAATCACTAATACGAATAATAAACAAAAATAAGGAGTATTGAATTTCTAAATAACAAACAACTAACACTAATAATTTAAATAACTACATATCTAATATTTATTCTTATCTGCAGTAAGTAATTTAATTAATTTATATGCACAGCGTAAACTTTATTGTCACAATATTGTTAAGTAATAAATTTAATTTTAAATTTCACTATTTCTCTTATAGTTCGCAAAAGACGAAAATTATACCTGTACCTAAATTACTTGTAAACAGATATAGATCTATACAAATAAAATAAACTATTTAATAATTTTTTTTCGATATTTAAATCAGTTTTGTTTAAGAAACCAAATGGCGTGGTACGAGAAAGTAACCAAACCCATAAGGGAAATGCTTAAGTCTGAAAAAAGTACGAAATGCCAAGAAGGGCTTGAAACTCCAGAGGAATACAAAGAAAGATGGAGGTCCATATACATTATATACTTTACTATGTTTTTAATTTCTTTAGGATTTAGCATAATAGTAACCGGAGTTTGGCCATATTTAGATAAGGTATGTATTTTTAGCTCAAACTAATTTTAAATTGTAAGTTAAATATTAAATATTATGTGATAATGATTACTGCTATTTATAGCTAAGTTTTACAAATAAGCCTACGATTATTGACGTTAAACGGAAAATAATCTGCTCATTAATAACACCCTTTGATTGAAAATCATAATCTTGTAAACTATTTATAAAAAGTTAATCAAATTTTTAGGGGATGTTAAGAAATGCAATAAGTTATTGCTTATTGCAGTTCCTAACATTTCTTACTAATGTAATTTAAGCATTAAATTAATTATTATGGGCATTATAATTCTTCATATTGCGAAATAAATAGACATATTAAAAAAACAAGAAATGAGTAATATTTTGAAAAATCTAAAAAATGGTATTCGGTAAAAAAAAATTTAAATTGCGCAACGTATAAACATACAATTACAATAAATTATGTTCCTTTGGCGATTAAAACATAAATGCATGCATAAAAAGATTGATGTGTTGTTACAGAAAATTCGTAAATTCAGTAAATTTACTGACTATAAATAGCTAATTGATTTTCGAAGTTTGACATAAATGACGAAAATGAGGTTTTTGTTAGATTTTTTTTTTGACCTTTTCGATCATAACTTTTAAAATAATAAGTCAAACATCCTTGCATATTTTGAAGAATAGGTAGCTATAGCTATTCAAAAAAAGTTAGAATTGTTCATTTCTCTTGCATTGGTGTTGGTAATTTAGTCTAAATGATAAGAAAACTAATCGAATTTTTTTAATTTCATCAAAAACTAAAATTTGGCTAATAGCAAAACAATTCTTTGTTTGACCTCCGCTTTTTTTCGCATTTTGGGTGCCCTGAACACGAACAAAAATATTCCCAGTCTGTTGCAAAATCCTTGAAAGATAGTGTAATTGTTGCAAAGGAAACAATTGTTACTTCATTAAAAAAAATTGAATAGAATTTTATAATAATAGATGTCTCTGAAGTTCGCAGTACTAAATTGATGGTTGTTTACTTGTTTATTGTAGTGGTTATTGGTTTTGTTTTAACAGTTAGAATTTTGAGTATTATAATATTGTTTTTATTTTAGGCCTTTCAAGGGGGGGGGGGTTGAAACCCCAAACTGACCCCCTTTAAATGGCATGGCATAAAATAACCAATTAACCCAACCAACTGTAAATATACGCATTTACTATAGGTATAAAAAAAGTATAGACATTTACATTTGTTCCATACTTTTACAAAAATTCTTTAATGAGCCAATTTACTAGTAAGTTACCTAGTAACTTCAATAAAATTATTAGTTAAAAGTCGTTTAATTTGCAAATTTGTTAATTAATTTAATTTTGATCCTTCATTATCGACCTTGTTCATTAAAATGAATGAATTTAGTATTATAGCCAAATAAATACATTTCTCTACGACTACTTAAGAATAGTAACATTCTAGTGTAATTTTTGACCATAGAAAGGTTGTTTTTCTGCAATACTGTGCGAGAATATTCCTACTCTTGTTTAAGAATGGTCACAAGTAACGACATCTCCTGGCTGTTTACTAAACGTAAAAAATTTAAAAATATTTAAATATTACTGTATTATTTATTAATTAAAAAATAATAGCAGTTGTATAATTAAGGTTTAGGCACAAAAAATTAGTTATATTTATTGTTTTTCAAATATACAAATCAAAATTATAATAAATTTGATATTAAAATGATAAACCAGTTACCTACTATACCGGCTTTGAAGTTTTGACAGATTCAAAAAGTTTAAAAAAAGACCTTTAAAATGTAAAAAAGAATAGATGTTGACATAGATTACTTGTAAAATTAGTTTTGTATTTGTTATAATGTTATTTTTTTTATTAGTTAGTGTAAATAACTATTTTTAATTATAATAAAGATTTAGGCATACCATTTGTTTAAATTTATTATAATTTACATGATAAAATTGTGACGGCACAAAATGGTTTGACAATACAAAAAACTTAAATGTCAAAAACTGCTTGGTTTCTTTTTTCTGTTTAAAATTATATAAGCGTTACTATTCTTACGTAGTCGTAGAGAAAATAATGTCTGAAACACGTTTGGAATAGCATATTCCACTCTCGTAAAACCGTCACACTCGCCTTCGGCTCGTGTGTCAAATTTTTCCTCGAGCGGAATATGCTGTATTCCTAACTTGTTACAGAATGTACTATTTTAAATATAGAATAAATTATTGGTAGTTTTAGATAAAAATTAAATTAAATGTTACCTGAAATAATTAAAAGTTAATCGAAATTGGCATAAAACAGTTTTTATTAATTTATGTAATTTTGTGTCAAAAATATAATTACATGTATAATTTTGTTAATAACCAGAATCTAAGACAGGGTTGCCACCGATTTCTCTAAACCAAATTCCCTGACTTTTCCAGGAATTCCCCGACCTTCCCTGATTTTTTTCCAGACAAAATGTGTTTTCTTTTTGGTTTCCTAAGTGGTCTTTGAGTGTTGGTTTTTAAAATTTTAAGTATGGGGCCATTCAAGTATTACGTAAGCAGAAATTTTGTAATTTTTAACCCCCCCTTTCCTTTGTCAGCAAAAGTAAGTAAAGCTTATCATTAAAAATACAAGCAAGACTCCCCCCTTTGGTGATTATGTAATACTTGAATTTATTTTTCTCTTGGTGAAGAATTATAAGGATTAATTAAAAAACTAAACTTGTATTGAAGTTTATAAAATTCAAAAACATTAACAAAAAATCAATACTTAACAAACACAAAATTTTCTGTAGCTAATTTTTTCTGGATAATTTTTAATTTAGGTTTTTATTTCTTGGGTTTTTATTACATTAATTTTCTGTTCAATCTGAAAATAACAGAAATAATGAAATTTTTAAAAATGCCTTTGAAATTTTGTCTGCAGGCAGGTCTTGTTTATCAAGTTGATGAGTTCTTATCAGTAAATATTTGACAGTACAAAAAAAAGATTTTATTTCTTCATAATTTTTTGCAGGAGTTTTTATTGAAGAAATTGATTTATTCTGGTTTCTAAAGCAATAGTATTATTAATATTATTATCCTGTAAAACTAAAGGGTGTCCCATTAAGACCGCCTATTTTAAATTTAGTGTCATTTTTTTGGGTCAATCGTACAGCGTTGTTGTTGGACAGTGGTCATGTGTGAACATTGAGGTTAAGTCATGGAGATTTACACGGCCGCACAACCCATAGAAATTGTAAAAATCCACTATCGAAATGGTGAGAATTTTTCGGAAACGGTTTGAAGATATCGTGAATTTTTCGGTCACCATATCGCACCTTCTCGCCGTACTGTGGTCCGATTAATCGAGCAATTTAAAACTATTGGGTCAATTCAAACCAAAAAGAGACATGTCCGTCCTCGTGCATCTCGGTCTGCTGAAAATATTGCAGCAGTTAGTGAAAGTGTTGAACATAATTCTTCCACCTCAATTCGCCACCGTTCCCAGCAATTGAGACTCTCCCGAAGCAGTTTACAGCCAATTTTGGCCAAAGACCTGCATTTTCATGCTTACAAGATTTGGTTGACACAATATTTAAAGACAGCAGACCATGCACAGCAACAAAACCATGGAATTATTGAGGACAAAATTTAAAGGGAGAGTTATCTCGCGCCGCGAGGATGTGATGTGGCCAGGCCGACCATGCGATTTGACGCCGTTTGATTTTTTTCTTTGGGGTTTTTTGAAGGAAAAGGTTTATGCTAATAACCTAAGAGCAGTTCCTAAACTAAAACATGAGATTCGACGGGTCATTGATGAAATTGAGCCGGCACTATGCCAAAATGTAATCGAAAATTTTGTCAAAAGAATCAATGTGTGCCGTCAGTCACGAGGCGGCCATTTATCGGATATTGTGTTACACATTTAACCTCCATGTCTCCCCTTCTTATTGCAATAAAAATATCTTAACTTTTTAAATAAACACTGCATTTTTTTTTAATTTTAAAATAGGCGGTCTTAATGGGACACCCTTTATAACTTTTTCAAGCATACCCTCTAAAAAAGTATTAGTCAAAGCATGCTTTTTCACTTTGAAATATGTCATTTTTGACTAATTCACTGCAGTCACTAATAACTGTAGTCCACAGCAATTTATATCCAGGACATTTAACAGCCAATTATCATGTAAAATTGTCCCCTGAATCCGAAAAGACCGTCATAGTAGTTTTTGAGATATAATCATTTCCATATTATATGGAAAATTGAATAAGTCTTAAAAAACTGTCCTACTTTTATAACTTTTGACGACATAAGGTATAGACACACATTTCCGCACCGTGTCCGACACGTGAGTCGGCTGGACAACACACGGGAAAAGAATAAAACCATGTAAACTAGAGGTGGCAAGTTTTCAAAAAGAACGAATCATTTAAATGAACCGAATGAATCGAACAAAGATTGTAAAAGAATCAATTCTTTTTTTAATCAATTTTTTTAAGTGAACTAAAAAGTGAATCAAACCATAAAATAAATATAAACTCGATTACAAGTTGAATTAAATGCTAGGTTCGGATCACCCTACACTAGGCTAAAATAATTGAATAACTGGTGATATTTCTAGGGATATTTCAAGGAATTTTTTGTCAAATATCAAAATACTCTTTTGTTTCCAATTTGTTTTTTTTTATGTAAGCTGTAATGTTATTGCACCGGAAAAGCCATTTACACGTAAGCAAAATAAAAATCGAATCCAATAATTTAATAATACAACCGTTGATTCATTTAACGATACAACCAATACATCATTACAAACAATTCAAGAACCAAGTCATTAATTCGCGAACGAATCTTTATGAACGAATCATTTTAAAAGAATGAATTAAAAGAATTGATTCACCAAAAATAATCGAACTTCCCACCTTTAATGGAAACCAATGCGTTAGTCACACAGGCATATAAATAATACTAATACTAATACTAGTATTATTTCTATGCACACTAGTATTATTTCTATGCACACAGGTCTGTGGTTAGTGACTAACCG